CAGAGACATGGGAATCTGCAAAGGCTGCAAGGCTGCGGCCTTGTAGCTGGGTCCCAAGCAGTTCTGCGCAGCTGCAGTTACTAGGAGACTTCGATAGAGATCTCTTCTTCTGAGCCTTCTTTGTAGTTCTTTTGCATCTCTCTCCACTCTCTGTAGGCCTCTTCTGGTCCACCCCCGACAGAAGGTGACCCTGCCCATGATATTTAAGGTCCCTTCCAACCCAAACAGTTCTACGAGTTCTATGATATTGCGCTGAAAAATCAAAATTGTCCTGCTCTATGTTTCAAGTCCTATTCCAGAACTTAAGAAATCTATCCTGGGTTTCAAGAGGGGTCTTGAATAATGCCTTGGTGATACAATAGTCCAGGCTGAAATGCACACCTCATCCTCATTGTTAGCAAATGGTCCTTCAGCCTTAAATGACCTTTATTTGCTCAAGAAGCCTAAATCTATACTTTTATCTGTTAATTAGCCATTTTAATAGGGAAATGGTAATTTTGGTTTATGATAAGTTTATTTGTGACATGAAGTTCTGTGGTAGAGCTGTCTATTCAGCACAGGAATGGTAGCATTCTGCTTAAAAACACACCAATATTTTTAAATTCCAGTATAGTCAAATATCTCTGCTTTTCTAAGAAGTGGATTTGGAAGCTTCCCAGATACTACATCTGCCCTTTCTTTTTTCATCACACCTCAAAGAATGAAGCTGACCAGGGAAATAATAGGAATTAACATACTTTTCTAGAATGCATGTGCTACCTACTCTCTCTCTCTGAACAACATCTGGATTTTCTTCAGAATGCCTGGCTGTGTAACTTGGAAATCCATGCCAAAAACATCTGCAAGTCAGCTGCATATTGCAAAACATCTGCAGCTTAGAGCTCATGGGAATCACTTGAATCATGGCAGAGGAAGCCCCAGGGAGAGGAAAGGAAGACGAAGAAAGAGTAGGCAAAACTCCCAAATCTTTGTGCTGCACTGTTTGCATGAAGGAAAAGTAAAACCAAAATGAGAGTAAGAATGAAGAATTATTGGCTCATTCAATCATCATTGCAGAACTGCAGTCACTTATATACAGAAGAAATATAATTTTGTTCATATCACTACAGATCTTTAAAATGCTATCATTCAGCATTCATACGTCTTGATCATAACTGCTTACAAAATTAAGACTGAAAAATGTTTCTTCTACATTATTTCTTTCTGTTGCCAAGTTTCTATGAGCTATCACCTTGTCATAAACCATCGTGGTTTTAGTTCAAAGTCAAATACACCTTTAGGTGTATTTATTTATTATTGTATTTATTTATTTAAAAATATTTTATTAAAATATTTCTTTTAGCTTCCCTGCTAACGTTACTGACTGACTTCATCAACTCTCTCGAGAGAGCTGATCAAAGACTTTGCATTGAACTGGGATTGAACTGATTTGAATTTATAAATTCATTATGAAGAAAAAAAAGAGGTAGAAACACTGTTATCTAAACTGTCTTCGTAGAGCAACAAACACCATATGCATTTACATAAAAGCCTAAAAACGAGACTCTAACAGGGCAAACCAATAGCTTGATACTCTTCATTCAATAGTGGCAACGGGCAATATTGTGCAAGGTATGAGCCATTTTCTGCTGTTCATTCATACCATACTCCCTCAGCATCTGCAGCCATTGGATCAAGGATGGTCATTATATTTATCTCTACACTTACCTATTCCTGTTTTAGATTATGGCTGTGAGAGGATACATACTTGCTTATTCCTCTCCTCATCTGTTTATATACCTTTAGTCCTAAATTTCTCTATAATTTTCTCTAGAGAGAAAATATCTGACCACAAAATAAATTACTAGAATCAGCCTTAGAGTTAGAAACCACATGCCCTAGCAAAGAGAATATGCAGACTAGAAGACTTTTATGGTAGAAATACTGTTCACTGCTCCTGCTGAAGCCAGGCTACAGCATAACAAGGAATGAGGCCAAAAGGAGTACCAACCCGTGACAAGAGAAATCCCGTGGCTGCATTCCATGTCCCAGAGATTTTTCATGTACCTACCACTAGACTACAAGTAAATAAAAGACAATTCTGTAGCAAAGATCAGGAGCCCTTTTGCAGTTATGGACCTTAGTTTCTACAAATGGCAAAGTCCACTCAGAAACAGAAAGTAAACATAATCTCTCACTGAAGTTTCTGATAAAAAAAGAGGCCTCAGGGGAAAAAAAAATAAAACACCAAAAACAAAACCAACAAAACCCCCCAAACTCTTACCTTTCTCATAAAGCCTCTTTAAATTCTGAGGAGAAGGTAAGAAATAGCTGCAAGCCAAGATATATCTTCAAACTGCCACTGTTGCTTTCTTGACTGAATTTCTATTTTGAAAAGTGACAGGGAAAAACAAAACAGCCTCATTTTCAGTGTTTGTTCATTTGTGGTCTATGAAGTGTTAGTTTCAACAGCATTGCCCAGTTAAAATCATCAGGATTACATGAGTGTCACTGAAGATACATTTGAAAACAAGGAGTCTGGGCAGCACTTTCGCAGCTGGCACGACCACAGATACATTACCAGCCACTACAGTAAGTATACAACTTCATTAGGGTTGAAGACATATGTTCATTAAACATAAATAAAACTAGTTTGCATTAGAAGAAAATCAGTTGAAGTCCAGAAGAGTTAGGCAATGGGCTAGAGGCTGCTTTCACTTCAGATGCTCTCTCTAGTCATACTTTTCTTACAGTGTTTTTCACTCCCGAGAGGAACCGCGCATCAAACACTGGGCTGCCTTTCTCCCACCTTTCCTGCAGATCAGGCTGCTATACTACTTCCTAAAGTTAAGGTCCTTTCCTCAGTCCTGGAAAGAGCCTTCTCATTAAAGAAAGGATGCCAAGTTCAGCACAGAGCTTTCAGTAAAGAACTAAACAGAAAGTTGACAGTGGTTTGTGGGTTACACTTTCAGAAGGGTACATTTTGTTCTTCTTGGTTTCAGTCCAAACTAACATCAGCCTAGAGCTTACTGGAATTCCTGCTGGCTTACACCACTGGAAGTGAAAGTGAACTAGTGTCAAAAGACAAATACATTTTGTTGGTGAAGAGATATGTGCAGTTTGAATCAAAAAACCTCGTACCTTCTAGGAAGTGGTAGCATCAGCCTTCAGTAGTATCATCCACTTAAAACAGCATGGCATTTGTGCCAGTAATAACCAGTTATTTCTATTCTATATTTTATTTCATCAGTAGAACAAAGTTGAAGCACTGAATTTGATCTTAACCTGTTTGGGAAAGATCTGTCTTCTCATTTTATAAGCTTTCAATCAAGATTTTATAAATATTTTTATTTTCATAAAAAAGATTAAAAAGCATGGCATCTAATTGATTGATTGTTTTTAGCTGGCCCAGATGAAAATATGTAATTTTTTTTCTGCTCTGCAGTTTTCTGTAACAAAAACTCATATTGATAAGCAGAGCCACATCATGTAAATTCTACAAGTATTCACTCTTCTTTCATAGATATCTTCATATTGAGTATATAGGGGCAAGAGAAGAACAATTTCCTTATACTGACATTTGTAATATGGAAGGTTTGCACTACTGTGATGTGGAATGCAACACTTGTTTCACCCCCAAGAATAAGAAAAGAAACATATAACAATAATTTCTCACTAGCAAGAACAGCTAAAGCGCAATAAAGTCCAGTCAGCCACAAAATAATTGCATTAAATCTGCACCTGGGGCTGGTTTTCTTTTTTTTTTTTCTTTTTTTGTGTTTGTTTGTTTGGGTTTGTTTTGTTTTGGTTTTTGGGTTTTGGTGGTTTTTTTTTTTTAATTTAAAGAGACAGATGTCATACTGAGAGTAGAAAGATCCTAAATACATGGTGCAGTATGATATTGTCTCTTCTGGGACAGGTGAATAAGACATAAAATAATGTATGCTTTTGAAAAAGTACTTTCTGCTCATCATGGCAATGCAATGCCTTTTTAAAACCAATGACTACAGCATATGTAAGTTCTTTATCCTACTAATTTGAATCTTTTGTAGTTTTAAACCTATTTCCAATAGCTAAGCATTAAAGTAGGGGCATAAAAGCCTTGTGAACACAGAAGTTCCACTGCTCTGAATCCCTCTGCTGTTTGAGAGAAACAGAATCAAAAAGCAGTAACAGCTCTGAAAAGGAGAAAAGGTGGCATCTGTACCTGGATAGTTGCTTACCAGAAAAGAACTAAGATCTTTACAAGTCTGCTTCCGATAAAATTTAAAACAAATAAGCGACAGAGTGGGCACAGGCTGTTTCAATATTATCCAGCTTTGAGACCTGATCTTCTTTATCAAGGAACAGTATCTGTTTGAAGATAACTTCAAGGTTAGCACTGTTTCAAGCAGAGATTTGGACTAGATGATCTCTCAAGGTCATAGATTCATTGAACCATAGAGTATCTCAAGATGAAAAAGACACACAAGCATCATTGAGCCCAACTCCCTGCTCCTCACAGGACTACCTAAAACTAAACCATACTACTAAGAGCATTGTTCAGACACTCTTTGAACTCTGACAGGCCTGTGACCAAACACCCTCTTCAGTGAAAACTAATTTCCTAATGTCCAAGGAACAGTCCTTTCTAACCTCAGGAGAAGTATGATCCCACAAAAACCCCAGTGCTATCAATACATTGATAAAGTCCATCAAGCAAAGACAGGATGCCTGGGACAACGAAGGAACTAGAGATGAGGGTATCTGCTACCTAGGGATGACCTTCTTGTGTCTACTCTCTCAAGAAAACTCTGAATGTGGAGGTGACTGGGACAGGAGAAACCAATGCATATCTAACATTCAAGGTCTTTTCAAACCCAAGTATCAACAAAATAGTTGTTTGGAAAACTCTCACATTTTTAACCCCAGTTGGAGAAAATCTGCATCCACACACCTTCTCCAGCTCTTCTATGTGTACACAATTCCAAAGGAATACACTATTTGAATTAAAAAGGACCATAAATATTTTACTCAGAAGCTTGTGACATCATTTTATTGTATTTTGTAGCATTCTTTCCATGACATGCCTAATACAATATTTGTAACATCTATTGAAAGGCTTGTATGAGGGCATTCACTGCACTTAGAGCCAAATTTGATAACCAATAAGCAAACAGGTAGCTACAGTTCCTACTGTCTTTTTCTTTTTTTTCTTTGAAGTGAGCATTTTATGTCCAAAATAGCAGCCCAGGATCAGAACAATCTTATTGTCCATAACATTATTATGTTTTAGGTAAATATGAACATATGGTGAAAATCTCACAGTTGAGTGGAAGTCCACAAGCAGTTAATGGAACATTCATATGTGTCTAACTACTGCACATTTCGGTAGCAACACTTGTCATAGCTAAATACTGATACATTTGTGCTTATAGATGCTTTATTTCCCTAGTTTAGTTGGAAAGCATATAATCCATAAAACTAAAACTGGTATTTGTGGGATGTTTCTAACATATATGTCAAAATGAGGTTTGTGAAAGTCTGGGATCTGTTTTGCTTTTTCATTTTTTGTGTAGGTCATATGCAAGTTTTATCCCTAGAACTGAAATAATTTCTTGAAGTGACATCTTAAATGACAGCCATTTTAGTGTGAGCTTTTCCCAGCAGGTATCCCAAAATCTCCTTGAATGCTAGTCCAATAATGTTAGATTACCAAATTACACATCCTGAGCCATTTTAATGTCCTACACAGAAAATTGTCTCCACTCCTCACCCCCCACCCCCTAAAAAAAAAAAAAACCAAAGCAAACACCAGCTGCAGATTAAATGTTCTAAACTTCTGCAAATAACTGGCAATACTGGGACATCGTTGACCTCATGTAACTTTTTGTTTCTCCCTATTCAGGTTATTTGTTTTCTGACTGCATCAGGACTAACTGAAATAAAATACTATAGTATATTTGGAAAAAAAAAAAACCAACAATAGACTGCACAAACAATCTTAGATACCAAGAACTCTACATATAATTTCTCTCCTGACACTCAAAATATCTATCGTCATTGTGCCTCATCTTAGAAAACATTACACTTCTTTTCTGAGACAAAATACATGAGGGCTGAGATAAGAGTACAGAGTAGAGTAAAAGATTTGTGGACTAGTCTGGCAAGTATACTTCTGAGCTGACACTCCATAGTGAGCGTCAGTGCAAGGTAGTTTTGCAAATGAGTGTCCTTTGCAAATGAGAAAAAAAATCCAGTTTGTAACTATTGAGGAATATGAGAAGATACTTAAACATAGTAAAAGGTAAACATTTACTGGATTAAAGTATATTACTAGAACCAACAGGACATACTTTTAAACATGTATAAAGTATTATACAGAAAGATGCATAGATGTACAGTAAATATGTTCATTTATATGTAGACAGAGTAGTATGTACACATGGAGTCTCTTGTGCTTCTGTAAGTCTAAGTAGTGAATCCTGTGGCATGTTGTCTTAAAGCAGTTTTATTATACAACTGTTTTGATGAAGCAGGTGCTGAGAACAATGTACATTAACACTAAGTAGGTAATTCATATCCATTTACTCTTGAAATGTACAAATATAGGAAACAAAGGCCATAAATGCAACAGTACCTACACCTCCAAGACTTCCTTTTTTTATTTATTTAAATATGCACAAGTCCGCCTAATGGTGCTACGTAGATTTCTTTCCTGGTCAACATGTTGACCAAGCACTCAGAACATTATCTCCAATGCACTTCAGGACCACTTCCACTGATTCAACTCAGTGTGCTCCTGACCTTGAAGTCTTCAGGTCAAAAATGAGAGGAAAAAATAAAATAAAAAATATATAAATAAAACAAACAAGCTTGTGGGCTTTATTTTCACAAGTTATTTGCCACCAATACTGTCAAAGCAGCTGAACTGTAGTGCATCCATGGGCAGGAGCATATAGCAGCTTTTGTGCACTTTGCAAAAAAAATATATTAAAGAAAATCAAGTCTTTACTGGCTTGTTTTATCTGTTGCTAAAAAGATGCTGTGCTGCTTCTGAGCCCTTTCCATCAAATTCTTTTTCTTCTTTTTTTTGTCCTTTGTTTTTGCTGGCCTTCTCCCTGAAAAAAAAAAAAAAAAGAAAAACAAATCATAACAATGAGTCAAGTAAAGAATACAGAAATTAGAAAAAAAAAAAAAAACACAACAAAAGCAACTCATTGGTACAGAAATTATCAATAGGGACTGCAAAGGTAATGTTGGCTAATGAGCTTTAATCATCAGTGAAAACACAAGTCTTCAACGTGATAAAAAAGGATCCCTAACTGTCATCACTTGTCCACAGGCACAATTTTGCTGGTATGAGTAACCATGTTGATGCAGGTTTCGCTTTTGGCAGGGCAAGTCACACAAGCAACGTTATGCAAGCCCCCAGGGCTCAGAGCCAAATGAGTATGTAGACTCCTAACTCACTGGAAGCTGGATATATGCCTTAGACCCTTGCGTAAATTTGCTTGAGTGAGTAATCCTATTTAAGTCATGTCCAATATATCTGTGATTTCAATGAGAAATTAGGCATTACAGCCCAAGTATTTGGTTGGATGCCATCTGACATACTTCGGCAGAAACATTACCACCTCTGCAAAGAACTGTTGTTACTGCTTATTAGTACACTGCATCTAATTCTCACAGTATATTACTGTGCAGAAACAAAATTACCCTTCATGCTTCTCACTACTGGAAATTCACTGAAAAATAACGAATACCAGGAAATCAGGATCAACTGAGGAAAAAAAATTCTCAAGCTCCTTGAATGGGAAAGTTTTTCCTCTTCAGTTCTAATAATAAAATCAGTGCCCTTTGGTTATCTCAGCAAAGATATCATGGACTGAAAAAATGTCAGATACAAAGGCCCTCATTGAGCAATGCATTACCTTTTAAGTATATGCTTACATCCTATCAAGTCTAGTAGGATTTAAGGAGACGACCAAAGGCTGTCAGGTGTGAGAATGGTCTGGGTTTTCTTGGCAGTATCATATACTAAAATATGTGATCAATGGTAAAAAAATAAGGTTATTAAACTCTAGAAGTCACAACTTTGTAAACTTTCAGGAGTACTAAATGAATGTAACAAGACAAGTAAAAGGAAATTCAATTAGTAGGTTACATAAAAATGTGAAAATACATTTTTCATCTACATTTGTCAGTACACTGCAAAACGGGACACGTTTGCCAATCTGGCTTTGTCTTATTTCCATATTGCTTCTTAATTTAAAAGACCCAAACCAGTTACAAGAGTTTTTCTTTATTTCATAATAACATTGAATAAATCTCACCCTAAAATTATCAAAATTTATGATTCGTTAAAAATATAGGCTTATATACTTCAGCTATATATGTATATATACATAATACACTGACTAGGCTATTATTCTATATGAATGATTGGAATACTTGTATATAAAATAGGACAGGATATTAAGGTAATGAGCACCTGAGTTTAGTCCATATGAAAAATCATAAGGGTCCTTGGAGTTTACTTCTGCTTCTCATTAAAGTCTGGCATTAAGGTTACTATGGCATTTTGCCATTTTTAAATCTAGTTAATCCTACACAATAAATCCCCAGTCCAACCAAGCATTAATCAAAGCAGCTTTTAAGTTAAAACTCTTTAGTAACACTGCATCTGATGACGAGGCACACCTAATGAGGTCAGAGGAAAGGAACACTAGACACAAGTGGCATTACAATAAGACAATTCGAACTATAGAGGTTTCCATATGTACATATATTTTATGGAATTCCACTAGTTGGCACATTGTAAGGCATCAGATCGTGGATGAATGTATAGTTCAACACTGTATTCTAACTTGCACTTTCAATATTATAAATTTCTTAACCCATATCTTCAAAATACTTCTAAGGAAGGAGAAGATGAGCGGCAATTGAAAAGACTGACCAATTCTGCCAGTCAATTGATTCTCACAAGACCAGAAAAATCAATCAGAGCTTTACTGGAGTTTTGCTACCCAGTTTGCTTACTTTCTGAGGTTTTCCATTATACAGAACAATTAGTAAAAGAAATATAAACTTAAATCTGTGTCTCATTTAGTTTCTCTATGACCTCCTCTAGAGATTAATTGCTTACTCTAAGTAAGTTTAAGGCAGTGAAAGATACTATTATTTTTCCTCTAAAATGCTTTGAGATACAAGGATACAATGACTCACAACACAGCTGGTATCCCTGTCTAAGCCTTAGAAAGTAACTCCTGCAACGCAAACATCAAATCAAATTGCCAGCCCACTCCCCATATGACATGCTTAAAATAGAAATGAACTGGACTAGATTTCAGTGATTTGACATGTCATTGTGCAACAAGCACATTACAATGCTTCTGATGCTCTGCAGCAATTGTCCCTGTACCTGCTTTTGTCCCAAGGCACAGCAAAGGCAATATTTTCAATATTTTCAGGACAATATTAAACCATATAGGAAAAAATGCAGATGACTTGGTGATGCTATGACTCCCAAATTCCAAATGTCATTTAAACCAGAAAATAGAATATAAAAGGTATTTCTTGGCTAACCATCAGTTCTCATATTGTTAGTAGAATGCAACAGAGATTAGAGATTAGCAAGAAAAAAGTGACTATAAAGACTAGAGAGTTCAAACAAAGTATGCTGCTGAAGTCCCTATGCATGAGAACTTTTATTAAATGCAGATTTCAATTACAGTGGTTATTTTATCAGCAGAAGCACAGTGAACAGAGGTATCTTCTTGGTATCTTACTACATATTGCTTTTAAGGAACACAATGTTTATGATATATAAAGTAGATCCCCTAAGAGGATCCAGTACCCAAGCTCTCCCAGTTCCCTGACTGGAGGGTAGTGGGGAGAGGACAGCTGATGGCTGAGACAGTCCCTGGGGCCAGGATGGCAGCTCAGTGTCATGGGTCAGGTGTTGGACAACCTCATCTGAGCCTTGCACAACCGTCCCCACACCTTGCCATGCTCACTGCTCCTTAAAGCAAGAGCCCTGACCCCAAGTCCTTCTCTCCATAGGAAGCAGCAGGGCTCTGCCATGCTTGGCTTTGTTGGGAAGCTGAAAATGAGTGGATTTTTTTAGCAGTGGATTAGTCCAGAACCTGCTGTTGCACACAGAAGGTAATTCCTGACTGAAGCAAATGAGGAGGGAGAGTAAAAGCACTGCCTCTTTGGAGGGGTTTTATCATTACTGGTAACAGGCTATAATGTTATTGTACAGAACAGAAAGCGACAATACAGGAGAGCTGGAGAGGAATTTTTTATGAGGGTCTATAGTGATGGGGTAAGAGGAAATTACTTTAAACTGAAATAGGGTCAGTTTAGATTAGATATCAGGAAGAGATTCTTTACTGTGAGCGTGGGGAAGCACTGGAACAGGTTGCCCAGAGAAGCTGTGGATGCTCATCCCTGGAAGTGCTCCAGGCCAGGATGGATGTGGCTTTAAGCAACCCAGTCCAGTGGAAGGTGGCCCTGCCCATGGCGGAAGGGGTGGAACTAAATGGTCTTAAAGGTCCTGTCCAACCCAAACCATTCTATGGTTCTATGACTATCTGAGATATAAAGTCTGATCCAGCCAGCCTATAAACCCCTCCCAATCAGAAGCAGTACCCAAGACAGCAAACAGTCCAGCGCAGCTGCCTGGTATCCACAGCCAGCACACCACTCTTCTAAGCGACATTACATCCTTCCTAGTGGAAGGATGCTTGCCTGCTTGTCATCTGGCACATAGCCATGCACCTCGTTTCTCCTTTCCAAGTCAAAGGTCTCCAGATAAGGCTTCATCTTCAATTTTAATTTTAGGACTGCAGTTTTTATTTGTTTAATGACTGGTGTTAGGAGCAAGGAGAGCAAATACAAATAATTCATAAAAAGACCAGGATATCTGAGCATTGTTTGGGTTACTATATTCCTATGCTTATTTTGCTTGAGTTTTTCCTTGCATACTAACTAGCCTTGAATTTGCCTTGAAAAGCATTTTTATCTTTGTCTAATAAAGGGCTCCTCAATTTTTATTATCAGTCAGCTATGAACACGATTTACAGTATTTAATTCTCTGTAAAGTCATATGTATACACTGAAATGTACAGGGCCCAAGAAAGATCTGATATGTAGCTGATTTCAGTGATCAATTATCCAGCAAATAAAAGCCTTAAAAGTTGATCTATCATTCTGTATCTTACATTTCTGCATAGGTTATCTTTACAGAAGTGATATTGGTAAAGCCATTCATTCAAACTTCTTATTGCAATTTAAAAAAAAAAATCAGATTTGCAATTTGCTTTATAAATTACCAATGAGTAAGTCCTTATTTTTGAAGTAACTTACCCAAATGGGTGGTGTCTTTACAGTGTTAGTCATTAAACTTCTGTTTGGGCCACGAAGTTCTGGTAGGTAGATGGGCAACTAATAAGCTGTGCAATGAAATCCTATCATCAGCTAACCATGTACCATAACTTCTAACGGCAACATATAGGTGATGGTAAAATAACATATAGGTAGTAATGCAATTCCAACATGAGTTCCTGAAAAAGAATTATTTATGCTAATATATACATCAATTGTCTGTATACCAAAGAGTAACAGCTACAAAAAGATTTATTTAACTTGGCTCTTGCTGGAGAAGGAGCATTACCACCTTCGGACAGCTGCAAAGGCAGCTTTCTCTGGACAGAGTTTGGGTAGCAGATTCCTAATATCCAGAGCACTCCTGATTCCCCAGAATTAAAATGAAGCAAATGTATTCACAGGGACTCCCAGCCACATTGCTTGAGATCCTTGACTCAGCCAGCCAGTTTCAGTTCAGTATCTGAATTGTGCTTCACCTGCTGTATAAGCACTGCTGTGCGTACGGCGCTTCTAACAAACAGAGTGAGTTTCAGAGAAAACACAGTATACAGCCACACGGGGGCAGCAGCTTGAAAACATTCAATTAAAAGGGGGGAAAAAAACCCAAACAAAACAACTATCCGCGGTTTTATTTCACAGTGTAATACCCTCAACATTTTCAGCAGTCTCACATACAAATCACTATATTAGAGCTATCAGAATTTTTAATACTCCCTTCTTTATTTAA